CCCCTTTTAACACTACTTTTAATACGAATACTTCGTATGCTAATGAGACTATTCCAACTGGCTTTATAACAGAGAATACAAATAAAGCATATTTTGCGTACATATATATTATCTTAATTGGTATTCTACTGTCGTTTACAACTTTAAAATGCATTCTATATGTGAAGGTAAGTACTATAAGACCATGCCGTTTATTCGATTTACTTGCTCTACTTTGTATTTCAGCGTCTATAATGAATTTACAATCATTTCTATGCATAAAATCACGTTAGACGCGCACAAAACAACGGATTAAAACTATTGTTGTTCTAATGGTATTATATACTTTTTCAGATCGACTTCTGTTAAAACAGTACAATTACAGTTCAATTCGAATTACTTAATACAGGCTATAATTAAGATTTCCTGATTTGTATATTTGCTGTTCATAAACCCACATAACAGAATATATAATTCATACTTTGTGTTTAATATTGTTTGATAATGTGTGTTTCTTATCAACAGTGTACACTGAAAGCTTCAACTAATTTGCATAACAAAGTTTTCAACGTAGTATTCAGAAGTCCTATGACGTTTTTTGACACAACGCCATCAGGACGAATTCTTAATAGATTCTCAAAAGATCTAGACGAAGGTGGGTAAGATGTGTACTATGCCAGACACTCTATGAATGCATACACATCGAAATTGAAATCAACCAGCCTTTAAAACGTGCGCGCAGCTCACTATAATTGTCCTATTCTTTTTTCTTATAGTTGATGTACAGTTGCCGACTACAATTGAAGTGATGCTGTACTATTCTTCTAGTATATTTTTTACTTTTCTGTCCATATCTCTGGTGTTCCGATGGTACTTATTGGCTTTCATCCCATTTAGCATATTTTTTATTGTCAGTTATTCATACTTTCGTCATGCAATGCGTGAACTAAAGCGCCTTGAGAATATAAGCCGATCACCATGGTTTTCACACATGACGGCAACTATCCAAGGATTGTCCATTGTCCATGCCTATAGGAAACAAATGGAATTCTACAAAAGGTGAGTGAAACATTCATGCTGTCACCCCTTTCAGAAAAATGTTAATAATAATTGAGCTTGATAAAATAACGTTTTTCTATAACTATTGTAATTGTAATTTGTTTTCAGACATTTTGAGGGGTTTGGAGTATGTTTGTATACTTAATTTTTTTTTTGCTAAAATAGATTTACAGATTTAGTGGATCTAAATTCGATTCCCTTTCTGTTGTTTAATCTGACAAATCGGTGGATCGCTGTAAGGTTGGATATAATCGCCATGACAACTTCAATATTTACTTCCCTGATGGCAGTTCTAACTCGTGGTCTGATACCCCCAGCATATAGTGGAATAGCCCTCTCATACACATTACAGGTGAGAATAATGTATCTAATTATACATCTCGTAAATTTTGACATCGTAAAAAAAAAGGTTTTCACAGGTTTATGCGGCGTGCTTTCCAGGCCTGTGCTTATGAATTATATACATTTACATTTACATACTTTAGCAACTATTTTTCACAAATTACCACTTTGCCAAAACATGCATTATTTTGTTAACATAATTGTGAGATGTTTGTCGACATAATACAAAATTTCTAGAGCAAGACATCAGCTTATGTTCAGTCCTGATGTTATTGAGGTTGGACTTTTCTCCTGATGTTATTGGGGTTGGACTTTTCTCCTGATGTTATTGAGGTTGGACTTTCTCCTGATGTTTTTGAGGTTGGACTTTTCTCCTGATGTTATTGAGGTCGGACTTTTCTTCTGATGTTATTGAGGTTGGACTTTTCTCCTGATGTTATTGAGGTTGGACTTTTCTCCTGATGTTATAGAGGTTGGACTTTTCTCCTGATGTTATTGAGGTTGGACTTTTCTTCTGATGTTATTGAGGTTGGACTTTTCTCCTGATGTTATTGAGGTTGGACTTTTCTCCTGATGTTATTGAGGTTGGACTTTTCTCCTGATGTTATTGAGGTTGGACTTTTCTTCTCAAATGCAAATGCAAATACTTGAACGGAAGCTATTTTACATCATGGGCAGAGATCTCAACTTTTATGTTACAACAATCCAAGCTAGTCATAATTTTTTGCGAAAAAAACCAAGATGGCGTCCAAATCATTTAACTAATCTTTTTTTCTTCTCTTGTTAATCTTCAGTCAGGTTAAATCATTTATGAAAACGAGATGTTTGCTACACTGTTATGCAGTACAT